AAACTAGAAAAGCTCAAGATGATTCTATCAGTAAATCAAAATTTAGCAAGCCAAAACCAAACAAAGAAATTAATCGATTGAAAGAAATCTTCTGAATGAATTTGTTGAACCAACTACTTAAGACAAAGGAATAATTAAATCACAAGAAAATTAAGTAGCTTGGAAAAATGATTGTGATTGGTTACTTAAAATGAATTCGCGAAGAGCCTTGAAATCAACCGATCTGACTACAAAATCTTCGAGAATTTCGTCGGGATCTCATCAGAACTGACTGCACGATCCTCTATGAGAGCAGAAAAATCCCATGACGATCTCATTAGATATTCTAAGGTTTAATGAGTCGAATGAAGAGCCGGAAAATCTCGTAAAATGGTGCAGTACGATTATTGTGTGGTCTTTTCCATGATGTTATAGTACTCATCTAAGCTGTTACAAAATGCTGAAAATCGTTAAACTTTTTATTTTTGATAGCATCGCAATCGCACCACCCCAGTCATCGTCACTCGATAATCTTATTTCGGATCTATTTAACTTTTCCGCTCGCAAAGTTAGACAAAACTTCAGTCACCATAAGTAACATGCATGTTGCTCACCAAAGCCTAAATAAAAAATGCCTGAGTAATTAAAAGAATAGTACTTTTTAATTGAGGACATTGCTAACAATATCGTTCTAAAACGCCATTTTACCTTAAAAAAGTGATTATCAATTCAATTTATTGAAAGTATTGCTTGGTACAAACCAATCTCCACATGACAAAAAACAACTAAACTAATGAAAATAAAGGTCGCACTTACTTACACATTAAAACATCTCCATTCGATAATTACAACCACATTGATCTATAAAAGAAGCTGAGGAGCCACATCTCAATAAAGAATGACTTAGACTTAGAAAATGATAACGAATACCACATTCATAAAAGATTCATCAATATCCTCCAAATTAACAGCCCTCTCTCAGAAAAAAAACAGTTCATCAAATTTATCGCAGACCTTAAACAGCAATACCTGAAATTAAATAATGATCTCTTAAATGAAATCGATACTTCAATTTCAGAACTTTCTACGGACTATTATTCGATTAACAGTAGCCAATCGAAAGCTGGAAAAAGGTCGAAAACATCATTGACATTCTCGTTCATGATGGAAATATAACAAAAACCTACATTCGTATCTGCACTATGCATTTAACTAATTTTTTTAATAAGATACACAGGAAATACAATTAGGAACAATACTGCTATATTTCTATGGTTGGCATAGCTATAGGAATGACAAACAATTTCTTGAACAACAAAGCTGCAGTCACGAATCTTAGTAAATCTCTTTCTTCATCTATCTAGAAAACAAATGGTTACTGAAAAAAAAAATTCGCATTTCCATAATCTCTCTCACCTATTTCCCGGAGATGAGAGAAATGAAATACAATTAACAATCATACTTATATTTCAGTATGTTATACACAAGAACACATGGAAGAGAATAAATTCATTGAGCAAAGACTCCCGGAGTCGCAGTTCTCCTCTTTCGTGTTGTTCAATTAAACGCAAGCAAACGGTCTGTTGAGAAAAAGAATACTTCGGTACACAAAGAATCTTATTGATGCATTTTCACAAAAATTAAGAAGTGAGTTATAATTACCAACGACACTTACCCATCAATATGATAAACACAAGATGATGCTTAAAAAAAAGGAAAAATTTAATTCTGAAAAAACAACGACGCATTGAAAATGTTTTTCGTGACTTTTCTCAATAAATAAGAAGTGAATTGAAATTACCAACAATCCGTACCAAATCAGTTTGTTGAGGAACAGAAGATGAATGAAAACTGATAAATAAAGAGAAGACAACAGAACATCGTAGTTCGACTGTCCTTACTAATCTAAATAAACAAAAAAAACATTGATATATGAAAAATACTTTTCAGGAGTTTTTTTTTAATATAAAAAAATGATCTCAAATTATCAATGATACTTATGCATTGCTGTGCTTTATATTTGATGATGAGCGGAAACTAATTAATCAAGAAACAAAACCCGCCGCTAAACATTTTCAAGTTGTGCTTGACGATCTAAACAAAAACCATAAAAGGTTAATGATGAAAAAATACATTGATATATTAAGAATTCTTTTCAAGACTTGTCTCACTATAAAAAAAGAAACTGAAATGACCAACAATACTTACCTATCAGTTACTTGAATAGTAGAAGATGCAAAGGAACTAATTGATGAGGAAAAGAAACTTGACCTTAAAGTTGAGGTGCTTGTTCTTGTTCATCTGAACAAAAAAAAGACCAGACGGACATTAATCTAAACAATACAGCGGTATATGAAGAATCATTCGCATGCGGGTTTTCGAATAGGAAGTGATGAACTAAAATTATTAATAATACTTATGTATCGGTATGTTTGAGGATAGATGATGCGTAGAAACTAACTGAAGAAAAGGAAACACTATCTATCATGGTTTTAATGATTGCACGTTTTTATGTAAATAAACAAGAAAATGTTATTAATGAAAAAAATACATTGATATTTGAAGAATCATTTTGATGAATGTTTTTGAATATAAAAGAGACGAAGTAAAATTATCAATGAGAATTGTGCACTGCTGCGTTTGGTATTGCAAGATGAGCGGAAAACAATTTATCAAAATAAAAAAAAGCCCACACTAAAGTTTTGGTTGCTGTTCTTATTCATCTGAAAAGAAAGAAAAGTCTATTCATGAAAACAAAACATCGATACATTAGACATCTTTTCGATGAGCTTTTTCTCAATGTAAAACACATGAATTATAATTATTAATTATACTTATCTTTTGTGTTTGACATAAGAGTATGAGCAGAAACCAATAGGTGTAGAGAAAAATCTAGGCGTCGAAGTCTTACTGTCTCTTCCTGTTGATCGTAATAAAAAAAGAAAAGATTAATTATGAACAAATACGTGGATGCATTACAACTGTTTTTGATGACTTTTCTCAATATGAACGAATGGAACTGAAATTAGCATATGCTCATCTATCAGTTTGTAGAAGAGGAACAGAAACGAATTGTTCAAGAAAAAAACTCGACAGCGAGATTTCAGTAGTTGTTTTTTTTTGTTCTAAACAAGAAGGAAAAGATTAATTATGAAAAAGTACTCCAGTATATAGAGAAGTTTTTTAGTGAATTATCTGAATAGAAAGCATGTGAACTGAAATTACCTAGGATACTTATATATTAGCATGTTCGACAGTAGATGATTGTTCAGAAGCAAACAGTTATGAAACGACATTCTGGACGACAGTTTTAGAAGTTGTTCGTGTTCATCTCAATGAAAGGAGGGATGAATTAAGAACATATAAAAGTATATGTGAAGAATTTTGTTCGTAAAATTCCTCATTGTAGAAGAAGTGGACTGAAATGACCAACGATATCTATCGATGAGTTTGTTGAACGCTGGGATATGTTTATTCCTTTTTATTAGGGTTTGAAAATATAGCGACCACTTACTCCGTTAATGAGAAGTCACGGTTTAATACTTTTCTTATGGTATGACGTTCAAGTCCTTGTTATCGTTGATTATAATACTAGCTAGATAGTATTCTATTTTTGTTTCGCTATCAGTACTAAGTTGCTAGGAACAACGAGTGCTTTATTATAGTAGTTCTGTCTTAGGGTTGATGACAATTGAACCAATACCTCTGCATGGTTAAATATGACAAAGATACAAGAAAAGAGCGGAAATATATAAAAGAAACGTTTTCAGTTGTATTTACGAATGTTTTCTTTTCAAGGATTAGAATGATTTGTTAATAGTAGTTGTGTTAAACTAAACTGCCTCGTGTGATTTGATGTTGTGGTTTGTTTGCTCTGTTGTTAGAAGAAAAATAATATCTGAATATTATAACGAGCTTCTTCATCACGTTTTATTGGTTTATGTTTAAAAAAGATAAATAAAAAAGGATAAGTGTTGGCAAGTCTATTTTTTGTCCCATGCTATCATCCAAAACGGCTCACGTATTCTGAACCAGCCAATAATTAAGAGCCAAACTACTTACTTGTTCTGAGAAGAGGGGTGATCCGTTTCGGATGATAATATGGGCGAACAAAAATGCTTTTAGACATTTGTCCTTGGGTATGGCTTGTATAACGTCTTTAAACAACTTTCAGTTTCTAGAGAATAGTGAAACAATAAAAAAAAGAATCGAAGTCTCTCAAAGCTGTCTTTTTGAAAAATATATGTTAATAACGATGTTTTCTTTTATTTTGTCGATTAGTAATATTTGATTTAGCATCATTCGATGGATTAATATTTTCTTGAATTTGTTCATCTTGATCATCATCGACTGTGGATGATTTTTGATTATCTTATGTCACGGTGGTGTGTCTTTGGGATCGTTTATGAGAATTCATTCTCTGATTTTGAGAATCCATTAACAAAGAAGACGTTTCTGTGACATTCTTCAGTAATCTATTTGAAATAAAATTCAGATTTATGAAGTCAAATGATAATGAATTTAGAACTCATTCATTTAGAACAATGGACCGATTTGAATTTAAATCAATACTACCATTAGAATAACATGAATTTGTTGGATCTGGAACATTGAAATTATTTTCTTCATCCATTGAAGTACTTTCTGTAATGATTTTATTATGTGTTGAAATCTTTGAGCTGGTGCTCAATGTTGTTGAATTGTTCGAGATAGAATTTGGGGATGTTATTTGTTGTCGATTTATTTCATTAATAATATCAATATCTTTCTCCTTGATTAATAGATGCATTGTATTTGAAAGAAAACGTTTATTATTATGAAGAATTGCATAAAGGAATCGTATTGCACGACTATTTCTATTAAAATTCAATTCAAATACACTATACATGGCAATAAGAAGACCAAGAGCATCATCTGGTGATGTTGTTGAAATAATTGGTATAAAATCGACATAAATGTGAATTTGGTCCTTCGCAAAAATTAACGTTGGATATGGTGTTGATGGTTCCTGAAAAAAATTAATGTCCATACATTGATAAATTTCACAACAAATAACAACATTTCATGAGACATCCACGGACAAATTTTTCGAGTAAAACCGCGGTCAGCCGCGGTGTTTTTAAACTCACCGCGGTTTTCCAACATGACACCGCGGTGTCACTGAACAGACCGCAGTTAACCGCGGTTTTTTATCACCGCGTTCAAAGCAAACCGCGGTGAATATTATGGTGACCACGGTACAATATATCGCGGTTAGTCGCGTTTTCATACACCGCGGTGAACATGTTTATGATCGCAGTATAATATATCACGGTTGTTTGCATTTTTATAAACCGCGGTGAACATGATCATGACCGCGGTACAATATATCGCGATTAGTCACGTTTTCATAAACCGCGGTGAACATGTTTAATATCGCGGTATAGTATATTGCGGTTAGTCGCGTTTTCATGAACCGCAGTGAACATGATTGTGATCGCGATATTATACTGTTTAAGTTATTGGCAGATGGCTAAACGACGGTGAATATGTCTTCACAATCGTGGTATGTAGTACACTTGCTGTTTGAGATCCTTTATTTTATCTCTGGCGAAATCTTAAATAATTTCATATGGATGCTTTTTTAGCCTCATTCTCTCTTTAAATCAATCTGTCCGATGGTATTCAATATAGCAGTATCTAAAATAATACATGGTTCGTGCTATATTTTGAACTGTTGTGCAAGTCGATCAGCTCAGTTATTGATGAATACAGCTGACTGTAATTATTTGATAATAGCCTTATCGAAAAGTACTCGAAGTGAAAGATGAGAAAAAGTTTTTTTTTTCTAGTAAAATTTATTGTAGGTGATCTTTATTAGCATAGGTTTTTCAATTGAAGTGATGTGAAAGAATGGCTAACTTATTCTATTAAGATATACTATGAAATAGAAGAATATGGTTTAAAAAAGATTTTAAAGATGATTCGTAGAAGTTAGGATAACGAGCAAAGTAACATATTCCATGATTTTCGTAAAAGCATGCTGTTTCAATTACATTTTTCGATGATATTAAATGGAATTCGTTGTCTGATAAAATGCTAAAGATAACTTGTTCATTGAAGAATACTTTAGAACCAATTTTCAAAGAATCATACTTAATTTTTTCTAATGGCCTTATTTTTAATAAATAACTTTGTCTTTCTTCGGCATAAAAGATCTTTTCAATAATACCATATTGTATTTTCTCGTTATGTTAGTAAATTCAGGGTTGCCAAACCTCCTGATCTGACCAGCAGTCTCCTGATTTTCAAACTTTTCTCCTGATAAAAATTCTTCTGAATTCAGGAGCTGATTTTGAGGATTTTCTCCTGATTTCTCCTGATTTTCAATTTTTTGATGGCTTCGTTTTTAGTGACATTTTGAATCGGTAAAAAAAGCGTAGAAGAGAAAGAGCACTGTTAAACGTAGAGGTGATAATCTTCTAGCTTATCTTCTTGGTAGTGAAAATGTGCCTAATGCATAAAAATTAGCCCCGTTATCTTTTTGCCACACCTGTCTCCAATGTTTGTTGAGAGTGAATTTTCATTCATTTGAAATTTTTATAAAATGATAATAGAAACCGAACCACAAATCATTTTGTTGATGCAGAATTGAGAATTAGAATGAACGGTCATTCCGATTGTACAGAGTTTCATAATTATTTCTTAAATAACCAAGAATTGTCAACACGAAGTTTTCTCG